ACAAGAGTGCGAATCCTACACTTTGGTTGTGCTGTACGGGGCGGTATACGTAACTGCTTTTATTAGCACTCGTTGATCCAAATGATAGTTAATGCAAACGCTGAGTCGCTCGTCGCCTTTTGCAGTGAAATCACGTCACAGTTATCTGCGTTAGCATAACACAACAGCAAAGACTGTGTAATCAAGGATGACGTCAAGGCACCGATTTAATGTCCTTCACATGAGCATTCTCTGCCCTTCTGCTGTCAAATCAATGCTATGCCTTTTTGGCACAGTTACCATAAAGGTACGTTTTATCCACTGTACCACTGCGAGGCATGTGTCCAATTATTGCCACTCATGGACGCTAGGCCCCTAACTTGTCCGACGAAGGTGTCATAATGGGAAGTCTTGTGTCATAAACTATGCACGTATATTACGTAGTCCACTTAGGATAGGAAAGGTGTTGAGGTACGAGTAAAGTCCGGTAACTTCTAAGCAATCTGGCACGTAATATGCGCATCAATTTGTGCTCGCACTGGCTTCCACCATGAGAAAATGATAAAACTTGCGCTTATTGTCCATTTGCTCCGAACACCATCAGGACCTATGCGACAGATATAAACTGCTCCTGAGTTCAAGGTTACAGAAGCTGTGCCATTGCCTGCAATCCCTTCCCATTTCATCACGAAGCTCAACACCTCGACTAACGCTTGGTATCACTTCTTATGAGATGTCCGTATCGGGCAGTAATGCAATGTCCATGCATGCTGATGATATCGGCTGCACGGTTTCAGCCACAGGTAGGTGGCAAGTTTGGACGCAAGAGATTACTATAGTTTCTGAATAGACCATCGAATGAGCAAACTCTCGGCAGGGCGATTAGTTTACGAGTAACAGCATGGTCACTGGCTTCTTGTTATCAGAAAATAACACAATATATGTGATGCGTGAGAAAGAAAGGGCCAGTAATGGGAACAGGTCAAGCCCCTACAGCTGCATCGGCGACTAACTGGAGAGTTTCATGACTTCACAAAAGTACTAGGTCCATACGAGGCGTACAGATAAAGAGCTCAATAATTCCAATGATAGATATAAGGGTCTAGTTTGTATCCAGTGAGTACCATAGTGTAACCACTGGCAGACACTATCTGCGAGAAACATGGAGAAATAAGTCTGCTTGAAACAGGTGTGCCGACTGCCGTCTGAAGAACTATTCAAGGACTTATTGAGACAGTTCGTGCGTGCTGCAGCGAAGCTTGAAAGAAGAACTTGCTGATAACTCAAAGCACGTAAAATTTGAGGCAATTGCTAAGCTGCGTAATAAAAATCATACTGGCTAGAGCATCAGATATGCAACATCCCCACACGTTCAGTTACCTGATGGAACGCGTGGGGCCGAAGACGCAAATGTACACTAAACTAAAAAACACCTATATTCTATAACAGTAGAGGAGCAAAGGGTAGGTGCGATATATCAACACATAAGTGGTATGAATCCACCAAGCTTTGTTGGCAAGGTGATTGCAAGTTATCTGCTCAGTCAAGCAATCACACGCATTTTAGAATGCAGCTTCACTGAGCAACAATATGAATTGCCCAGACGGCAACGCAAATGACATTATATATGCACCTCGTAGTTTATTAGAACAGTATTGTGAACCACATCAGCCACTTTCCTTAACGCCGGTCTGTTTTACAACGATCTTCGACCCGGTAAATTTTAAGGCGTTTAGATAATTCAGAGTAAGTTAGTGTGAACCTGAGAGTAATTTCTTTTGTTTGCCGGTCTGCATCATTGTATACCGGCTGTATGAACAAACTTGAGATGACTTTGAGAGTGTCTGCTGTGTGAAACAAGAATGAGTACGAACATCCCAGAAATTCTTACGTTAGCCTAGCTGTCATCATGCCATCTGAAGTAAATTCAGACAAGTGTGAAATTCTTTTAGAGTATCCCACGGGTTTTGGTCCCCTGAATATGTATCTTTTGTGAACCAGTAGCCTAGTTCATGAGAACTTCTCTGATATCTTTCAGAATCTAAACTATTTTGTTTGGCTTACGTACAATGAGAATGGGCTTCAGCTTTTGACTGCGGTATCCGGGTCGACGTCTGCCCTGTGCAGAACAGTTGTGAAAGCAAGAAGAATATATGCCCTTTCTAGTCTGTATCAATGCTGGAAACCCTTTGCTAGTACTAATCCTGATTGGCAACTAAGAATGAACAACCGGTTAAACCTTCGCTGCTTTAGAGACGCGTTGTCGGCAGACATATAGTGGGTCGATGAGCTCCGTACTCGTATATCGAATGTGACACTAGTTTTTGGTACACGGTTACACTGGACTTGGAAGAAGCATCATCTAACGGGTGACAAAGTTATTGAGGCAGTGGTTTAGGGTGTAGCGGACTGTGGTTTTCAACGATGAATTCTGGCCATTGGGCAAGGTAGACACCCTCCATCTGGAACGATGACACCAGTGGTACCTGTGGCTATTGTTGTGTCCCCAGGGGTTCGAGTTAGCAGCTTCTTAGATTGCGCCACGCGAGTCAAAAGACAACGCACCGGACGAGAAGTATATTTGCGAACACTGCACGGGCCGACGTGGGTACGAAAACACTCTGATTACATTTCAAATCACGGCTGAGTGCTAATTTGAATTTAGCGATCTCAAAGAATCACGGGACTTATGAGCGGTATTAAACAAGCGGTAGTAACGAATGTTCTGCAACACAGGAAAACTCTAGTCTGCTTGTAACTGAGACTGTTCTGATACAAGGCACACGGTTACTCGGGGAAATTGCGCACTTACCTTCCAGAACAAGTCAATTTGTTTCGTTTCTGTGCGCATTTGACTTTGGTCTGACCTATCAGCTATTTCGTCTATACATTAGTATGAAAGAATGTTCAACACTGAAGTGATTTTCAGGGGCGTATGTGCAGTATTGACTGCGTACCACACTTGAGTAGCCGGAGATAAAGTGCTTAGGACAGTAGAATGGATACAACTATACCATTTTCTATTGAAGTTGGACATTCGGGCAAAACATTTACGCCTGGAGATCAACGGGGTTGCTCCTCCGGGGCAATCAAGTTGAGTCTTTGCTATGCGGAATAGAACCACTCACTGGCATGGTAGGGGCTGTTTCATTGGCCAACTGTCTTCAGCAAATAGGACCTCAGGCTATTGGCCAATGAAACAGCCCCTACCATGCCAGTGCGTGGTTCTATTCCGCATAGCGAAGACTCAACTTGATTGCCCCGGAGGAGCAACTCCGTTGACTTTCAGGCGTAAATGTTTTGCCCGAATGTCCAACTTCAATGGAAAATGGTATAGAATGCCAAAGAGCTTACCGCCTTAGTACAAGAGAAAGTACATGCAGAGGGGAACTGAGTTTACCAAATATGGTAAAGAATATTTTACAGACCAACATTGACTTCAGGTGCGGGGAAGCATCTTTAGCACATCGTTACTAATGGCGTGATCATGTTATGAATGCTGTCTTACAAGTGCACAAAAATTACTGGCTCAGTCTCCTCAGAAAGACCAGGCAATTGAGTGACAGCCGCAGGGGAGCAAAGGTGGTCCTCAGCATCCATAGTAAGCTACACCCTATGGACTTGTGCGTTTGCCATTTATTTTTGTCTGATATCAACACGGCCGTCATCGATTCTTAGGAAAAGGACGATGCAAGTCTACCAGAGACCTGTCAACAGAGCTAGGAGACACTGCTTACATCATCATGCACTAATCAAGTTAACGCTTAGGTCGGTGTGTCATGCATCGTGTACCTGTACGCTAAGTTTCATGCTTGAGGTCTATACCCTCCAGTAAAGACTTCCCTGGACTACATAGAGTGCAGTCTTTGTGACAGCACTAGTCCATCTAATTTAGAAAAGGTCACGGCCTAACCAATGCCCTGGGTACGTCTAGTACGCCTGTTCCACCCAACTCGACTCGAAAGCTGTGTGCTGAATAAGTATAAGCGGGACCCGAATCAATCAGGCTTCCCATTCACATGCTTCCCTATCTTATTCCTTTGAGTTGACACCAGATAAGAAGCGTGCATATGAAGCTAAGGGGGACGATGCTTTACCATTTACTGTTCCTCTGGAGAAGAGAGTGCCCTGTGGCCATCCAATTCACAGAGGCAGGTGAGTTGGAAAAGGAAGCTACCCCTAGTACTCCTACGCGACGTGGTAGGTCTAAGTCTCGATTGGAGGCGTCACCTTTTCAGGGCAAATATGGCAAAGCTTATCATCCAAACACAGCGCTTTTTCGGTTGACAGTTGATGTAATGAGACAGCTCGTCTCAGGGGTCCTTCGATATTCAACGAAGATGACAAGAGTGAACCCAAAGCCGCGCCTGTTATGTAGGCGTTGACGCTGATTCTACCTTCTGGTTCTCGATCCCCATAATTATGCATGGGACAACTCTGTTCATTCTGCTTTGGAAATGTGTATGGCAACGGAGGACTATTATAGGCGCTATACGACAGTCAGTTACTTGGTCATGGCCGATGCTGCTCTTTCCCGGGGCTCAGTGGTCATAAAGCTAGAGTAGTGACCCCATCGGGATGGGGTGATGGGGATGGGATGATGGAATGCTCAATGCTGTTGCTTCCGAAAGGATGAAATGACTGTCAACGACTTACCTGTATGTGCTGGCTGTTTGTCGCCGCCACGAAACTCCACCGAGATTCAGATGTTCGTTTGCCGCCTGCAAATGGTCCGTGATTACGGTAACGTTCGTCGCTTGATTTAAGCAGTGCGCTCGGCATGACTGTGAGTGAACATTTGTCGAATACACATTTTGCTTTGCGTGTACCGTGTTGTATGTTCGTGTCCAGTTTATTTGGCTTGCTCTACACAAGTTAAAGTAACTTAGCTTCAGGTAGGTCTAGTGCACCTGATGCGCTACGGCAGCACAGATTAAGCATATCAGTTAGATACTCAGACCCTCAAGTCAATTCTTATCTGTCGTCTGAACTAAACCACCAAATAAATCAAGAGTAAAATTGAATAATGCGCAACTTATATTTAAAAATAACCGAATCTTATTAATCAAATAAAGTTATAAATGATCTATCCACTGTCTACATCTCCGTCTCTGATGGATCAGCGACTCGGTGATATGCAGTCTAACCGGATTTGAACAAGAGAATGGCAGACTGGTCCAGATAGAAGTAAATAAAATTATTGCTCTCGTGGGTCACATAGCTGAAACGGAAAAAAGCGGATGCCGGTTGGAAGCTACACAGAAAATACGGGAAGATTTGGACTGTGCAAGACGCCTTTGTCATTTATGGAGTGATCCAATAGTTTTTCCCCTGATAAACAAATTGTTGATTAATCTAGCCAAAGGACATCACATTCCTGTTTCAGTAGGTGATGCAGAACAGTTTGCTGCTGATCACATGGTTGGATTACGCAAACAAATCACTGACAGTTAGAGGAAAATCACCGTATTATCATTATCATACCATCAGTAAAATCTTCAACGATGTTGAGTATCAACGAGCGTATATCTCAAGTCAATCAGGATGACGGCGAAAGCCTCACCGTCCAAACGGAGCGCCGCTCGGTTCAAGCGCATCTGCACTGGGTTGTCACAGAGGTAGGCAAAAGTTACTTACTGGCCATGGGATTAGCAGGGTTGCTTCATTAATCCCCTCAACCCCACACAAACTATTATATTACATTAGGCATCCCTGCTATAAAAACTTTCGACAAAACAGCGTGTTACGCTCTAAAAATCTTACTCATATTTAGTCTCGTTTTGCCTTGTGCGAAGGATTTAATATTGTTCCGAAATTCCCAGAAGCATGGAATCTGCGGGCGCTGTGTAGGTAACGTGTACCTCAATTCTGTATCGCTGACACATAGAAACAGGTATGTACATAGGTGAACTGATGTCCAATGTTAGGGTTCGGTCAAATACTGGCAGTTAAATTTATCCCTCTTAATCTTGTTACAAGCTTCACCGAACTTAATCGTGCATTGTGAAGTGACCCTGGACAACATAAGCGTAAGTGAAATTATCGGTTTGTAGCTGAACACACAAAGTACACCATAGTCGCTTATTCAAATGGTGTGGAAATTTCTCTAAAAATGGTTAAATACTCATAAAAGAAAATTCAACTACTCCAAGGAGCTACCTGCCGAACTGCTTGCCGACCACACAGTGCCATGTTGGCCCGTATTTCTCGTCCATGAATTTCTTCACATGCGTAGCGATATCCTTTTCCAACGTATACTTCTCCATAGCTTCTTGGCAAGTATCCACTACCTTTTGCTGTACTTCCTCTGGCATATCCGCATTTTTCACAATTGCTTTCCGCTCGCTCATTCGGAGGACACAACGGGGCGATGGATTCTGTCGATAGAAAAAGTTGCAAACTGGATCAAGACTTTTATGTGATCTCTGGGCGCAAAGTGCACGGCAGTAACTTGTTGACAAACAGTTCAAGCACACTTGTGTACTTTATCACACTCAACGGCATATTCATTGAGCTCAAGGCGTCTGCACACCAAATGCAAAAGAACACTGGCGTGCACACTAATTTTGGCTTGGTGAGTAGATCTCAGTAGATGGCCACGTGAGGCTTATTGTAATTCCTCACCTCAGGAGGCCACAGCATCGCGTGACTTATTCCGATCAATTGAGTGGAAAGGCGAATCACGAATGCTACACTTGGCGGGGTGGAGTGGTGGTCTCCGATGGCAGTGACAGCCAAATTCCGGCCCGTCCATGTGTCATGTGATGCCGCTTGAAATCAGCAGAAGAGCCCAAAAGAATCTTGCTGGGGTCCATCGCTACCTAACTCAAACACTGTTTCCGAAATTGCGTTGCACTATAAATGAAACCTGGTGGTCTGGAATATTTCCTCCAATGGTTGTATGGTTGAAGTAGCTACTACTTCAACGCACTACTAAGCTTCAGTTAGGCAACGATAAATCGCCAACCGACGTAATTAGTAAACTATGATACACGGTACCCCATTCTCTAAAGTCTTGTTATATTTTCCAGCACTTTACAATCGGCGACCGCGTTCAGCGCTAATTTTGATCGTGTACCAATTATACGCAGTGTTAGAACAGTTGTTACCATTTTGAGATATTGTCACCATGATATGTACGGTCAAATGATCGAATTCCGTTCGGTGTCGCAGTGCGATGTGTATGTGGGAAACGGGTACCCTTAGGGTCTTAAAGACAATCAGTTAAATATGAAAAATGAAACTTTCACTGCCATTTACTTTTGCTTACCACAAATGTTGGATAGAACGTTGCATAGGATACGTTTTATACATCCAAAATACAGTTTGGGTTTCTTCAATAATGAATGATGATTAGGCGACTACAATGATACAGCACTAAGGTTGAACGAGGGGACTTGGAATCGGTGGAACAGAGTACGGGCAAGTGATGGCAGTTTTTCTGAGTTTCCCATTTCCGTCTGAAAGTTATCCCATTTTTGGCTTTCGGACGACAATCGGAAAGCCGTCGAACGGAAGTAGGACACTCAGTGTGCACTTACGCTATCAGAGCAGTTCTGACGGACAGCACAAACTTTGATTCAGTTAGACCAAAACAAAGCAACTTGCTTACATAATGATCATAGGGTAGTGAAATTCCTCCGGTTCTGTTTGTCAATGTCCTCAAAAGATGTACTAGTTAATCAACGTTTCAAACTTCGGAATCGGCCTACGCATGTTTGTCCAGTGCTTACCAATGTTTAAGCAGAAGGAATTCATTAGGCCTCGAGGCAGTTTCTCGTGAAGGACGCTGAGAACATTTGGGTCACTAGACCTTACCACATGTACCTGGTTCTGTCAGGGTTGTTACGTACCACGGTTACGTATCTCGACCTATGCACACACGAGCGCGTGCTCCGAGGTGGCTTGTGCAATCAAAATGCGTTCAGTTTACCTTCATGGCTCTAAGGTGATGAGGGGTCTTTTAGTGACGCAATGCCAAGAACCTCGACTATTGCTATCTAAGTAAGTATGCCATGATAAGCAACAAGGTGGATTAGGCGAACACCATTGGCTGTCCTCCAGTGAGCATGTTGAACACCTAGTTCAAGTTTCTGTCACTCAAATCTGCCGACATGCGATTCTAATTTCTCGGTATATCCAGAAGGTGATCTGATAACTGTCATTGGGAGCCATCTTTAACAGACTACTGCTGCAGTCTGTCGGAGCATGCGCCGTTATCGCGATTACAAAACGTCTTCCGGCCCCGCGCCTGGAAAGCGGCTTCGAAAGTTTAGTTACCACGTAGGCGCCATGTGAAAATACCACTACAACTGGCGGACGTTGACATCAGCTGCAGAGTCATGTCAGAGTCCTAGAAACGGGTAATTGCTAGGGTTCGGACAACAGCCGCGTGTGGAGCAAAATGCATCAACGTCAGAATTGGGGATATGTCCATCCGTTACTGGGGACTCAGCGGGCGTGCCACTGTTTGTTTGTTTTTTCTCTTCTTGCCTTTTGTATTGCGGCACAATAGCTGAGGTGTTTTCCACCTCCAGCTAACGTGTAATGATGATGATGATGATAACAGTGAGATTTGCCAGTTTGCATTGACAAAGAGGCGTCGGGAGAGAAATGCCAGTTTGAGTGGTCGGCTTATACTTGGGCTTAAAAGCATGAGCCATGTAGAGATAACTATGGTCCAGGGCAGTTGGAAGTTGGAAAGTCGGAATAGTTGGGGGAGCTGACAGGGATGTGGGGATTGAACGAACGTGAATTAAGTTTGCTGGAAGTTTTGTATGTTAGAGCACCATCCAAAATATTTGGTCGCCTACACTATAAGTTTCAGACGACAAAGCGAGTGAGCCGGGAAACGTAGTATCGATCCATGGCTTGGGTCAATATCGCAATTCTCGGTCAAGCAGGCCAATAGCAGGGTTGACTTATGGGACACAACCCGGTCCTTGAGCCATTTGGACTTGGCTGACAACACGACGGAAAGATTAACGTTTCAATTGTTCATTTGTTCTCCTAGCTTGGCGGTATTCTCGCAAACGTTTCACCACCATGCGTTTAACATTTATGCCTAATTGTTAGAAGGGGGCTACAAAGACTAGACTTATTCATAGTGTCTTTCAGATGGAAGGTGTTCATCAGTCTGAGAACTAGGGACGCACCATTAATCAGTTAGCTCCGCCAAACCAATCAGTGATCGGTGCGCTACCCATACAACTTAGCTGTCAGCACTAATGTAGCATCGAACTGTGTACGGGGGATCCCCATGCAATCACTGAAGGTTGTCAATGCCTGACTATGTCACCACATCACTCACAGTCTAGGCCATCTGAATGTGTTGTTACCAGAAGGATTTCAAAGGACCATCCCATGACGAAATACCAGTTGATGATTGGTGATCGTTTATTTCCGGTACTTCGCTTCAACTTTCACCAAGGTTTTGCACTATGAAACATTCCCACCTGGCCTCGCACCTGCGTCTACCGTGCGCATGTTCATTACAAGTAAGCATGCAAATGCTTTATAACTAGATAAAACAAGGTATGGTAGTATAAAACTCCGATCAAATACGTCGGGTACAATCACGTGAATACTGAAAATTAAAGTTGAAGAGAAAGATGACAACTATATGTTGTTCCATATTTATACTCTCCACAACAAACGCGGGATAATTTTAGTTATTACCACGCGTTGTCAGCGCAGTTCGACTGCGCGGAATACTATTAGGGTGCAATGTACTCCCGGCATCTACAATCCGTAGTGGGCGTCTAGAAATTTATTGACTTCCGACACCGATTTACGTTGGACCAGTATCAAGGGCAAACCATTCCAGTGTTATACCAACCGACGTTACACAAAAATAAAGTGAGCTCTCCGCTTCTAGGGCAATACTACAAGCTTGTGCCGATACTTTGAACGCTGTTCAATGCGAGCACGTGTAGCAACCACATTAATATAAAATAGTCACCTAGATGTAATATCGACTGTGTCATTCTGAGGTCACTTGAAACCGACAATACGACAAGGTGGACAGTAATAGTCTCCTATGTCGGTCTTCATAAGACATACTCCGTAAAGTGGATGAGCTTGTTAACAACCTACTGAACACACCCTAGTCCCTGCATTTCGTCATGGGGTCTTGGACTATAAGCCAGCGGGCCGGAATCGAACACTGGTTCTACAATAGAAGAGGAGAGTGGCAATCTCACCCACACCAAGTGCCGAAGCTACGTTTGAGAGCATAAAGTATGCACAGGCTGCTTCCTTATATCCTGCTTGTGTTGTCCACGGACTTCAGCTCGTAGTGTGAGAGTACTCCAATGTCCCTAACGGAAGTTGACAGATGAAACCTTTTGTCGGTCAGTGTGTACATAAACCCATCATGACTTCTCCTCAGGCTTAACATTTAACAACTCGAATGGGCTAGCCGGTAAATCAATCTCTGAAGACCATAGGAACAGGCTGCCGAGGTCATGCAGAAATACGTGGCAGTCGTTCGGAGCATCAACTACTCTCCAAATCTTGTGGTCATCTGTAAGCCAGATGATTTGGGGATCCAAGGTCCCCACAGTGATCACAAGCTTAACTCACGGAACGAGACTCTGTTCAGACATGTGCACATGTTTCGATCAGCGTTCAAACTCGTGAGACTTTCCCGTTTCGATTCCTCTTTTTCCCTCAGAAAACATTCCTGTTTCCGGCCAACCTCCGCAGTCGTAAAACATTCAGTCTTTTTACCCAAGAAACATTCAGTTTTCCAGTCCAGCTTCCGCATCTACCAACATTCACTTTTCAACATGTTCCGTTGGCATATTTGCATAGTGCCAATTCAGTTGCTTTCAGGGTTTGCTTACGCAACCCACTGGCATTATCGAGGTGTAAAAGAGACGCTAGACTGCGCTGTAATCACCTTGAGCCTGACCGGTAAAAGTGTCAACCCGAAAGGTCTGTCTTTTTGTCTTGTTCTTTCAGGTTTGGGGTAAATGCGTGTGAAGTTGCGTTCGGTCTAGTAGCCCGTTCAATTCGCGCATAATAACGGTGCTTCGCCTAAGTCTCACGGGTCGTACAACTTCGAAGTTTGTTGGTTACTTTGTCGTGCGTGAAATAGTTCCAAGCCACATTCGTTCGGCCGACTAGGAGAGTTGATACCAACGTGACACAGCGTGGCGTATCCAAGAGGATGATATACCACCAAGGCAGCTGCTGAAGTATTCTCCATAGATGTGGTTCACGTAGATTTCTCTAAGGCATTCGAAATTGACAATCACTTCGTTCTCCTACTAAAGCTTGTTGCCTGCGGCATAAACGTTTCCCTGTTCACCTGGTTGGTAGATTACCTATACGATGGAAGAATCAAATTTCGACTAGTCGCCACACACCGAATGCCTGTGCGTCTTTATTGTTGTTCCTCAAGGATCCGTCCTCAGCCCGCTGCTAGTCTTACTGTACCTAAATGACCTCCCAGCTGTTGTTTTATCCCCAATGCAAATATTTGTAGATACTACCAATATGAAGCGCAGTCGCTCAGCAACCGACCGTGCATACCCTCAGAAT